TAATCATTTTTGAAATTGTTAACAAAAAAGATATCGATTAAAAAAAAAAGTTCTGAGGGACCCATAAATCTCCACGTTTCACACGATTCTCAATCATTTGAATATATATTTGCGAGACAATTTTTCCCCAATTTGTTGAACAATTTTTCGAATTTACAGAAGTGAATTCATTTTTCTCATTCCGTCCATCGATTGTTTCTCCATCATACCCCCACTCCGCTCTATATGGGATGTTTTCTTTCGTCACGATTTCCTGGAATTATCGACACTCTCGCGTTTGCTGGTCTTTCCGAATTCTTGACACGCTCGGGCTCGCGCTCTGCTTTATCTATACCCACGCCCTCCGAAAATTACCGACACTCTTGCCCTCGCGACCTGTTTGATCCACAGGTACACCCGCAAAATTAGTTCCGCCAGTTCCGCTAGGAAATTTCGCGGTTGAAGGTTCGCTATTGGCGTTAGCAATCTCCCCTATAATCTCTGCACGGGCTTTGAAAATTATCGACGCTCACGGGCTCGCCACCTGTTTTACTTACAGGTACGGACTCTCGATCTGCTTTACTTACAGGTACGGGCTCTGACCCTGTTGAAGGTTTTGTATAGGCGCTGGCAATCTCCCCTATAATCTCTGGCACGGGCTTTGAAAATTATCGACGCTCACGGGCTCGCGACCTGTTTTACTTACAGGTACGGACTCTCGATCTGCTTTACTTACAGGTACGGGCTCTGACCCTGTTGAAGGTTTTGTACAGGCGCTGGCAATCTCCCCTGTAATCTCTGCGTTTAATCATAACATTTGCTCATTATTATTGAAAAAAAAGAAAAATCCATTAAACAGAAAACTAATCACTCTCAAATTCTAATTATGTTCTCCTAGATTTCACCACATTACGACCTAAATATTTACGAAGAAAAAAGTTAGAAAAGTTAATTAAAAAATCACATTTCTTCCCAGTGCACAGTGCCATCTCTTCTACTTTAGTCAATCTTGTTTGTGAGAACGCATCTTTCATCTCACCGCCATGACACTTTCCAGTTCATGCTTTTCGCCTCTAAGGTAAGGAAAGCACTAAAGAAAAAAGGTTTGCTGTTCGTATTTTTTTTGACTGAAGCAAAGGATTTTAATACCAATAAATATAGTATATTACTATTAGCATTTCTGGAACGAATTGCGTTATTATTTTTTCTGATTAACGGTAGCTACTGCCACTGTTCCATCTACAATAACTCAAGCAATCGATATTTTGCACTCTTCATGGAGAATTTAGGTTAGCAACGCGTACAAAACAACGAAAGTTTGATGACTATTACTTTGGTGCATAAAGTCAGTAAATAATTCTAGACATTCTTTCAGAACAACATCAGAGTGATTTTGATAAGCAGCCTGACCGAAAAAGTTCAGGAGTAAAAGCTGAGACTCATGAACGGTCACAATCAATCTCTAGGGAGTCTGGCGAATCAACGAATTCAAACTATTCTCCAACACACTTTAAAGAAAACGCTTCAGTAAATGGGTAATTTTTCAATATGAAAATACTGCATATTTCAACACTAAACGATGAGAAACTGTTCTCACGAGCATGAGATATCAGGACAAACCGCGAGTGAGCTCTGTAATCGTATAAGGTAGAAAAGTTCTTTGCAACTGTCCAAGAAACAATATTTTGTGTTGTTTGGTGTGGTTATGATGGATGTCATCGACACATCCCATTTTAATATGCACTTTCACATGGAGATTTCTCTATTCTTATTTATCTATTAATTTATCAATGGTTAATGAATACACGGTTGAGAATCCCAGCTATGAGGAAACAGGCTTCTTTAAGTATTTCCAATCGGACTTTGAAGATTCCATATCGAATCGTCCTTTGCTGTTATCTTATTATATTTCATTTATTTTATTGCTTCTGATACCAATTATTTGCCTACAATTTATGCTGAAGTTTTTCGGTGAACATTGCGGGATTTTTATTGCTGATTGGATTAGATCCACTATAATTCATAATATGCTTGTTTCTATTTTTGAACATAGAAAATCGTATCATGAAGAATTTCACACTGAACCAACCGAAGGTTTATAGATTGTGATCATTTTCAATATGAAAGAATCAATTAAACAATGAATCAATGTTGAATTCCAAACAATGGAAAAAAACATCTCAGTTTGAATCATGATCTAATTCCAAGAATTTTTGAAATAAAAAATTTTGAAGAGGGCTTCGTTCGAAGAATGCTCAGTGGCATTCGACTTGAAATGCAACTAAAAATAACAGAGACGCAATAAAAGTTCCATTTTCGGAGTCTTAAAATCCTCCTATTTCTCATACTTCCGTTACTCTCTGCAGGTTCCTTCTATCTTGGAGTGGGCGACTTTTTTGTCGGAAAAAGAAATAATACAACCTAGTTCCAATTTAAGAATACCTGGGATTAATTGTTTTTTATTACGTTGCGTTGAAGGCACAAAAAATTCTTGCCAAAAAAGTATTTTGGCCAGAACAATTGAGGCGTTCTTCAACATTATTTTGTGGTGGAAGCATTTTATACTATTCCATCCATGAAAAATTAGTGAGTTGAACAGCCAAAGGAAAGAGTTCATATCGTAAAAATTCAGATGAAACAAATTGAATATTAATATTTTTCTGGTATGGTTCCCGCTTACTATGTAAACATAGTAATTTTTCCTTTTATATTCTTTCGGTGCTCACGTATAGGAAAATTCCGTAAATAAGCTCAGCGAATTCTATAGATCATTGAATTTCTATCCAACTTCTCAGAAACTTTTCGCAGAATTTATTGAAATTTTTTGTAGTAGATGTTCTCTGCAGAGGTTCCTGGGTTCGAACTGCCCAAATTCTTGTCTTTCATTTAAGTTTTGTAACAGAATGCGGAATGGAAAAATATAAATCGAAAAAATAGTTACTACGATGGTTCAATCAAATAAGTTGTATGAAAATTTCACCCCATAGCCTTTTTTATTAAAAAAATGCTATATGAAAAATTGCAATAGAACGAGTAAGAAACTCATATGTGTATTCAAATCTTTTTCGAGCTTTCTTTTCTCCTATATATTATCCATCAGTAAAAAATCCGTAATGATCGCCAGGGTTTTTCTTCGTTTTTTAGGTTTAAGCCTATCTGTCCCTTCCAGGAACATGGATGCTTATCGGGAAGCTTATTAAATAAGCTTAAAAATTACACCAGACTCATCGAATTCTAATCATTTTTCATCTACTTATGACACTTTAAGGCAAAAAATCAATTTGGTCATTTTTCTTGAAAAATTAAATTTGATGTTTTGATGCTCTTAAATGCACTAGGCCGGATTATTCATATACGATTTTGAAGAGAATTTATCACTCTTCCAAAGGGTGCACGATAAATCCCACGTGAAAGAATTTCCATCACATTATTGGAGATTGTTTCCATTTTTCACGATATGTCACACTCAAAAAATGAATAACTCGCACGGAGAGAAAAATCTATGAATTTGTATATTGTGATTCCGATAAAAATTACTGTGCTGCCTTACAATCTAGGTCTAAACTGCAGGCCTGAGAAAATTCATAGTCGTCGCAACAGTTACCATTGTTAAATTCAACTTCGGCAAGAATCGGAAACATTCGACGTTCATCGCTAACCAATCATATTGGGTTAAAAAATGTTTGGAGAAAATGCTGTGTAGCACAGGAAAAATTAAAAGAGAGCACAATAAAAAATACCGATCTGGATAGGAATTTTTGAAGGATTTCTATCAGTTTTTCTTTCAAACTCAAACAAAAAATGATAGACCTTCAAATTTTATAGTGCTGTTTAGTAAATTTTATGGAGCCACACATGATTAATTACGGAGTGTATAAGAAAATTCGACATATTGATAGTATTTTTTATTTGTGAATCAAAGAATTTCTGGTATTCTAGCATTTTGCACCACGATTGTAGTGCTCGGCACAGTAATTTTTCTTGGACTTTTCTTTCCGTGCGGAAACTACGCGAGATGCAAAAAAGGCCGAATATAACTTAAAGAGCGAAAAATTCATAAAAAACATGAGGCACCTTCATCCCTTTTTTTTACCGTTTACCCGCTACAGCCGTTCAAGCTTACGATAGAAGAAAAAAATTAATTAAATTAAATTTAATTCAATTTAATTAAAAATGGAGTAATTGTTATTTTTCGATTTCAAATTATGTTAAAAAATATTTTAAAATCTGAGTCATTATATTTTCATGACGATAAAATTTAATCTAAAAAATTACTATGAAATCGAACATTACTATAAATCTCCATGCGGAGAACCTCTGCTTCGAGAGCCCAGTATATCTATATATATGGTGTGCTGGGACGTTAGATTTACCGTAAATATAATTTTAACGTCACCTCCCCTAAATGATCTACGTAGTGTGCATGCGCGCGGCACTGGTTTAGGCTGGGCTAATTTTTAAAGAACGTATCTTGAAAAATTTATTCTGCTCTTTCGTCTAGAGTTGGCGTCTGAGCTGCTCCAGCGTTCGTTTCTCTGTCAGCCACCTGTTTTCCATTTCCTTAACCTCTCTTATCCTCTGCTGCTCCCTCTTCTCCATCTCAGTCCTCGCCCAGTTCAGCTCTCTCCTTCTCTGTCAGGAATTTTACTTGGATCTTTCTTGTCTCGCAGATAAATTTTCGTACGTAGTCGAGCTCCAGCTCGAGTTTCTGTTCTAACCTTCTCTGGAAGCCTTCCAGGAACTCCTGCAGCACGCGTCTCGAGGCGGGACGTACCACAGAGCTTTGTGTGCCCGTCTTCCTGCGGGTGATGATGATTTTGTTGTTCGCACCACCTGCGGTTCCCTTTCTGTCATCCGCACTTTTACATTCGGGTGTGTCCTTAACCGTTAGAGAGTGGGCTTCATGTTACTGTCGGGGTAGGTAGGATCAGAATCACTGAGCTATCTCTGTCTTTTTTCGGCTCCTTAGCCAGTGCCACCAGCATTGTGAGGGTCACCATAGTCTCCTCGGCCACGAATGCTTCATCGTCGCCCTCCACTTCACTGCCTGTCACTGTAAACGCATCCTAGAATGCTGCCCCGGGCTCATCCTCCGCCTCGGAGTTCTCATACTTCTGCGTTCTCTGTGGTTTCGACACCGTGTAGAGGAAGTTCAGTGGGGCGGCAATCCACGTCATGACCCTGGTGGAGTTGCCTCTGGGGTGTTTTTTCTCCTTCGTCCTTCCCTTTTAGGAACTCGTCAATTCTTGGTGTACTCATTCGAGCTTCCCTCGATTTCTGGACTCGGTCCCTCCCCGCCTGAGATGCTCCTGGGGTTTGTTTACTGTCACAATTCGTCTTTTTTTTCTGTTCTTACTGCCAAGTGGCCTCCCTCGCTTTTTTCTAATCGGGGCATCCGGAGCCCCAGGGGTTTCATGTGCTTGCCTCACTGGGCTTCAGCGTCGATTTGTCGTGAGATGTGTTACCCTCTACATGCTGCGATTCACAGTGCGAGAATCTTTCGATTTCTTCTGTGTCTACGGTCCGCCATCTCTTCTTGGGACATTCTAACCTCACTCGTTCTCGTTTTGTTGTTCTGTCAATTTACTCAGGAAGTCCACCGAGGGTGTCTGAGATAATTCTCCGGTAGTCACTGTTTGGTCAGCGTGGTGTAGTGACGATTGTTGATACAGATTACGGTATAATTCGCGTTTATTGCTATATAAACTCGGTTCAGGTCCCCCGCGCACTCATTCAATTGAATTGTCATCAAGTTAGAGCAGACTGTTCTAGTTTTCTCTGTTGCCACGCGCCAAAAATTACGGTTTCCGCCTTTCTAGAGGCTTTATTTCATGCAGCCACAATCGTGGCTGATTTGCTGTGGTGACACATTCTTTTTTGGTTTCACAAAGTCAATGGATTTAAAAGCAAAAAATAATCAGGTCCAAATCGACAAAAAGTGCGATTTTTTTTACCTTTTTATGATGAAATCTCAGGAATCCTGATTCATGTGATTCATTCTTTAAGGGCTAAAGATTATTGATCTGTTCATAACTTATATCATTTTTCATAACTTTTATGTATATAGTTGTGTTCAAATGCATAGCATAAGTATAATCACGAAAGACGTGTATGTGCCAATTTTTAGGCAGTCAATAAAGTACTAAACAAAAGGTTCAACGAGCCTGACTGTTTGATATATTAGAGTCAAGCTGTGAACTGAAACTTAAACACTTGATCTGCTAGTTCGATGGTTAAGCTTCTTTCGCTGCGAGTTCACTTATTTGTTTAGATATTCGGACTTTGCCCGATGAGCAGTTAGGTTCTACTATTATGTTCGATCACTAGAATCGTTCAAGCCCTTGTTTAGCCTTTTTTGGACTGTCTCAGGCTAGACTCTGATCCCTGACTCTTATCCCTGATCGTAGAAATGAGGAAATGGCTAGGAGCTGGATAGCTCAATTGGGAGAGCACCCATCCATAATCGGAAGGTCTCTGGTTCGAATGCCGGTCTGGACAATCCATTTTTTCAGTAATTTTTCGGTAAAAGTTATATCAAGAATTATCCTTTTTCCCTTCCAACCTAATACAAATTCTATCCAATGACTCCTTTGATATCAGAAAAATGTGGAACGTTATAAAAACTTCACGTCTTCTATTCCTGACTGTCTGAGGAAAGTACGCTCTTGGTGCTTACCTACCTCCCACCCCCAATTCGACCAATGACTATAAAAAAAGGGTCGTATTGTATTGTGCAGGTAGTCGGGGGAGCGAGACCACGCAGCTTGGGTCTGAGTGGGGGGTATCGTTATGTCAGTCACGGCAGTCAATGCGCAAAAGTTAAACTTTTAAACGAAAAATATGAATATTTTTACGAGTATATAGTTTAAAAATATCAATTGGTCATTTTCTTCTATATCAACTTCCGCATAAAATTCCGTTTAATAAATCTTTAAAAATCGTTTGAAAAACATTGATGAAAAGATCTTTAAATTTTGTTAACATTGTTTGATTCTCTAAGCAGACTTAAAAGATTTAATTATGTTTTCCGCATTTCCTGGAATCAAATGTTCAGCAAGTGGCAGTTTTACTTGAATTTCAATAGTGTCATACCTCAGAAAACCACAGAAACAAAACATTTGAATTCCATCATTTCATGTCCTGTTGACTTTCTTTCATTACATCGATTCCACTGTTAAATCGTTGAAAATTCATCCATTTCCAGTTAATTACGAAAATTAATAATTACTGCCGAAAAAAATTAAAATAATTAGCTGCAGAGAGTGACCGAGCAGAGGTAATTGAAAAATGATCGTAGATTAAAAAAACTAATCAACAATTCCAGTTTTTTATTTTAATGAAATTCCAATGAATTCCTATGAAAACTTCATTAGTGTTTGGCCGACCATTATTTGGGATTTATTCCAATATGAATATTGAAAGAATGAATAGATTCATTGGAAAAATGAACTTGAAAGAATTTGTTCATAGAAATCATTTGAAGCAAATTTAGTTGTAGAATTTCTATGGTGAAATCATTTCAAGTCTTTTTTTGCTCATATATTGGTGAAAAATAGATAATTTTTGTGTAAAATAGATTAAGTTGTAAATAAAAATCCAATTCGTTTCAAATACAGAGTTTTCTGTTGGATATTTCTATTGAAAAAAACTTCTAAATGAATGTAATCACAAACTTCTATAATTTTCATAGCAATGTAATGAACTTCCAATTCAATTATCGGGCGAGTCCGAGAATATTTTCCGTCGAATTGCTTTTATATGTGCTGCCAAACCAAAAAAGTTTGACTAAAAACATATCCCTGAAAAATTGCTTTTGAACATTTTTACAATAGTTTTGGGCAGATTCAAATGGTCTTTTTCGAAGAGTCTTAGACCAAGACATCTCAAATCAAGAGTCGGTAAATTTACGAGCCTACAGCAGCCATGAAATTTAACGGGAATATTTTAAGAGTATTGCAAGCTGCCGACAATTTTATATTTATATGACATTATGAGATGCCTAGTTCATAAGTTAAAATGCTGGTATCTATTGTTTGGAATAGTCCCGAATGTTATTGAAATAATGGATAGTCCAGATACCCTGGCGGCACCGATTAATTTTAAATTTACATCGAAGACGTACCTGTCGCTTCGATTTTACCCAGCGATGGGTCAACAACGATTACACAATTGGAAAGAGTGGAGAAAAGTATTTCTCTTAGATTCTAAATTAATAAATAATTGATTCAAATTTAAAGAACTGTCATCTCATATTTTTGTCAATTTTTAATGAAATAATTGCTCAATATTAAGGTGACTAAGAAATGATCAACTTCTGGCACGATGTTATCTAGAAAATTACCCCCGGTACAACTACGAATTTTTCAAGTTGAATTGATAAAAATTAGTTGGAATTTTTGAGTGCACGTTGCTAACCGCACTCTGACTATGCTGGGTCTCATACAATTCGGATATTGTAATCTGGAATGCAATGATACAATTCATTGTATTGTAATTCATTGTATTGTTTTCTGAATAATGGCTCTAATAGGGTTTTATGGTCCGGGCTCCAGAGGTTCCGGCTTTGCTTATGTCTGCTATACTGAACAAGTCTAGACCAGAGGTGGGCAACCTCAGCTCTCGGAGCTACTACAGCTCACGACCTCCATTAGGCAAAATTGTCTCAAGCCATAAAGTTTATGGTTGCGCACCCCCTTCGAACCCATGGTGCCCTGAGTGTGGTAAGAGTAATGGGGATATTCGGCAGAAACTTGATGGTGGGGAAAGTAAAATAGAAAAATTTTAAATTTCTGTAATGGAAATGTTTCTTTAATTATTGCATTTTTGTTTATTTTTCAAATGACTATTGGATATTTTTCATCAATTTTACAAAAAAGAAAATTCGTATCTTTCATTGATCTTTTTGATGAGGACATATTGTTTGGAAAATAATGATTAAATATTATCATTTTCTTAATAGACCTGACTTGATATGCATTTTCAAACTTTTTTTTCTATATTTTCCGCTCTCGATTTCGAGTTAAAATGCATAAACTTACAATTGAAAACATACAGATCGGTTTACATTTTTTCTCCGTAAAATCTGCTCTGAGCTACCTAGAGGTTACCCATGTCTGCCTGAAAACAGCGCCCGGCATCCTTCAGGTAGCCGAGAGCCAGTCCGTTACTAAGGATGGGATAATTTCCAAATTCTAGTGGCCACCAATAGCCAACCTTTGTCTGCGAATAAGCCCTAGTAGTGACGATGTTATGTTCCAGAGATGTTACTAGAAGGAGAGTGGCGCAATTTAATATTATTAGCGTCAAATTTTCAAAAATGTGTAATTCGTTAGCCGCTAAACCTCTGATGAGGACTGCATCGAGAGTTCTTATATAATTCTATCTAATTATATTATATTATTGGTATTTGTTATTACTTTAAAATACGGAAAATTACATAGGGAAATGTTTACACAATTCCCTAAAATCAGACCAGATGCGAGTCAGAATTATTGTGAATTAAATTTTTGCTCCTCCAACTCCGTTACTGTTAGGTTTAATCTAATCAAAAATAAAGATTATTGACAAAAATTTTATTTTTCAGATATGAGAAGTTTTCGGCTAAACAGGAAGAACCAATGTCCCCAGAATGCAGTCATTCTAAATCAAATATAACCGATGATTATATTGGTAATTTTTCAACTGAAACCAAAAAACCCTTGAAGTCATCAAGATTTCGGTCGAAACCAAGAAAAAGTAGTTCTCTGTCTCCATGCCGTGGTGATAATTCACGATCATCAGAAGGAGTAAAATCATTCGAGGACCATTCATGTTCACACTCCGTAGCCTCCAAGGGGTCTGGTTCGAAATCTAATAGTGATGAGAATGCATCACGGCACCATTCAAGGTCTACATCTATTTCTGGACTAAAAACGAATTCTAAATCAAGATCTAAATCTAAATCTCCGCGATTCAATATGGAAGGTGAACAGTCAAGAAGATCTAGATCGCGGTCGAGGAGTTCTAAGAACAGTAAAAGTCGATCGGTGAGGAGATCCAGATCGCATTCAGGATCGGATCGAAATTCCGTGACGTCGAATCACTCTAAACCGAGTTCGGAAGTCTCTATTCAATCTGGCAGAAGTTCTGCTGCCTCAAATCGATCAAGACCCGATTCGATCGCTTCAACAGAAGAAAAACACATACTTAGACTGTCAAGTAAGTCAAGAGACAATTCTCCTGGCTTAAGAGGTTCGAGAGCACTCTCTGCAGCGTCGAACAAATCCAGACCAGGATCAACTGTATCGAATAGGTCCAGATCACGTTCTTTATCTAGAGATGCTTCTCTTACTATAAGAAAATCATATGAAAGGTTTCATTCAGAGTCTCCAAGCACATTCAGACCTGGTTCTCGCAGTACTAGACAGTCGCATTCTAAATCTCATTCACGATCCCCACGACGTTTAATCATTTCTAACAGGTCAAGATCTCGTGAATCCGAAACATATTCCCGTAAATCAAAATCCAGATCACGATCACATTCTGTTAAAGAGAGACCAAAATCCCATTCATTCAAGTTAAAATCTAAATCACGATCCCCTATAGTACCGAGAGGCATGTCTCGTTCTGATTCTGCAAAATCTAGATCCAGATCGCGTTCATGCTCCAGATCCATGTCAAGGTCTATTCAATCGAGGTCTCGATCATGTTCGGGATCTCCTACTTCCCGATCAGGGTCACGTAAGTCCAGATCCAGGTCACGTTCGCGCTCAGTAAAATCAAGATCTCGTTCCGGTTCTGGAACTTCGTCATATTCTCAGCCGATATCCAGGCGATCCGTATCATGTTCGAGGTCAAGATCTCCATCTCGGTCACGTTCAAGATGCAAATCTATATCAAAATCACAATCTCGATCACGATCACGGTCGGGGTCTGTACAATCGCATTCGCATTCTCGATATCGATCACACTCACGTTCAAAGTCACGATCAATCTCTAGCTCGCGAAGAAGAAGCAGAAGTCCCAGCAGAGACTCTATTGGAAGTTCAGTCGGTTTCAAACGAAAACGCAGAATTTCGAATTCTGATTCTGAGATCGACGGTGAAGTTCGGGATAAAAAGTCAAAGCATCAAAGTCCTGATTCTAGAGAGGATAATGTAGAAAAAATAATTACCGAGAGAGATGAAGATGAGGAGAAAAGAATATTAGGAGATGAGAGGGAGGAAACGCTCACACAGTCGCGTTTAATGGACGACGGCGAGGATTCTGACGAAGGAGTACGAGAAGGAGATGGGGAGGAGAATGATCACATGTCTGATTTTGATCGTATGTTGGCACGCAAGAAGGAAGAGCAGACACGAAGACGTAAACGCAAAGATATCGACATTATCAATGACAACGATGATATAATAGCCCAATTATTAACAGATATGAGGAATGCCTCGGATGAAGATCGGAAATTGAATCAACAGTCCAAACCGGCAACTAACAAAATAGCGATGTTGCCCAAAGTCTTGTCGCAGTTGAAAAAACACGATCTTCAATTAGCTTTCTTGGAGCACAACGTGCTCTCGGTACTGACCGATTGGCTGGCGCCTATGCCAGATCGTTCTCTGCCTTCTTTACGAATTCGTGATAGTTTGTTGAAACTTCTGTGGGAATTTCCCAGAATTGATCAGGGGTCCTTAAAGCAATCAGGGATTGGAAAAGCTGTAATGTATCTTTATAAACATCCACGAGAAACAAAAGAAAATAAAGAACGAGCGGGAAAATTGATTAACGAATGGGCGAGACCAATATTCAATCTATCCGCTGATTTTAAAGCGTTATCGAAAGAGGAACGGCTGCAAAGAGACCTAGAGCAGACGCCATCAAAGCGGAGAAAATCGAATGAAGCTGATACGGGTCACAAATCTGATATCAATAAAGCACTGAAGCAAAACGATGCGAAACAACTCAGACCTGGTGATCCCGGATGGATTGGGAGAGCTAGGGTTCCTATCCCATCGAACAAAGACTACGTTGTCAGACCGGAGTGGAAGTCAGAAGTGGACATCAGTCGTACCACTAAGAAACAAATGAATAGATTCGAAAGACATATGAAAAATTATATGGATGGTAAGAGGATAAAAGCTGCGAGAAGAGCAGTTGATATTTCCATTGAAGGACGAAAAATGTCATTATAATTCTAGTTGCATATTTAAGTTCTTTTTATTATGATTCATATAGCATTGTATTAAGTGAATTACTTGATAAATAAATATCTACAATTACTTCCAATATCTTCCTTAGAGCTTCAACTGGCTAGTACTGATTGAGAGAGAATCCACTAAATTTATGTGGACAGGATAGACATATTGTCCTAAGACCGAATCCTTAAGGTAGGGCCCAGCGATTTTCAGGTAGTCGTTCCAGGGTATAGAAGACAGGTGGACAACCTCAATTCTCGGGACTAGTTCAACTATCGAACTCCGTTAGACAAAATTGTTCGAAGCCGTGAAATTTATTGCTGTACCCCCTTCGGGCCCATGATGCCACCTGCGTGTAGGCCATAGTGGGAATATTGGGTAGAAACTTGGTGGTGGGAAAAATAAAATAGGAACACTGTCAATGTCCAATGGAAACATTTTTTTAATTATTACTTTTTTGTTGTTCATTTGTTAATTAATCATTGGTTGTTTTGAATCAACTTTACAAAAATGAAAATTCGTACTTTTTATAAATTTCTTAAAAAACAGATATTGTTTGGAAAACAATGCTTTCATATTATCATGTTATTAATAAACCTGACTTGACATGCATTTTCAAACTTTTCGATGGTATATTTCCCGCTTTCGATACCAAATTAAAATGCACAAACTTTTCACAATCAATAACATTATCAGTGCTCTTGGATCTTTGGAGATATATAACACATGATTTATTAAGATTCCAATTCGGATCAGTTTACCCTTTTTTTTGAAAAATCGCCCTGACACTTGCGCGGAAGGTTAGCACTTTGCTCCCTGATAAGCGGGGGGAAAGTGAATACTTCCAACCCTCGGGTAGAAAGGTGCTGCCAAAGACAGAAAGCCAAGACTTTTCCGCGAGTTCATATTTGAAAAAGATTCCTTTTTCCAGAAGCAAGGAAAATTTGAAATTTTTTAGATCAGCTGGAGTGACTTGAACGAATGAATGGAAATATTAGTGATGAGGAAAATTTGAGAAATTATTGACTATGAAATTTTTCCCTCTCATGTTCATCAGGATCCCACTTTCATTTCCACCGATGAATATTGAATCTGAACCATCATATGACATCCATTGTTTTTAATAAAAATGAAAATGTCGAAATTAGCGCAAAAAATGGAACTATTTTGTCCTCACATTTCAATCACGTGCATGCGTCATCTCCCGATGGTACCCCTACCACGTAAATATACGGCAACCCTTGTAATAACGTTAGGTCCCGCATAATTGGGCACTTAATGATTTAATCGCTGCAGCTCCTAGCCTACTTAAAGTTTCTTCTTGAGAACACCACTCGCTGGGTGGCTCTTTAAGCGCTCCGCTTACATCTTTCTCCTCTCCTCCTCGGGATTTCAGGAGACAGCAAGTTTGTTCTCTGGTCGTACCTCTCCTCTGTCGAGTTAAGGACTCTACTGTCTTATTCTCTAGCTGTACTTCTCCTTCATCGGACCAAGAACTCTGCTAAGTGAGCTCTCTAGTTGTTCCTCCCCTTTACAAAGTTGAGAAGTTTGGGTTCAGGGTTGTATCAGACTTACTGCGCACAAACCGTCGATCCAAGAAGTCTCTCCGAGGCATAATTATTTGTTGGCCGTCCAGGTTGGTCTCAATTAACTTAGCCGCTACATTAGTGACCCCGACGTGATGCACAGCTAACTAAAGGCCGCCCTAGTGTCATGGTGAATCGTGGAATGACGTCTTCGCGTCCAGGTAGTTAAGACTATTAATTAAAAGTATTATTTCTTTGTTAATTTGCTTTGATAGTTAATATTAATTTTGGTATTCATTAAAAACATTTTTAAGCAAAAGTTAGTATCCCATTTTTAATTTTTTAATTGAAGGTCAGAATAAACCTTGTCAATTAATTTTAAATTGATTGTAGGTGATACATAGTCCATTGCCATTAGTCTATCACTCATCATTTATGGGATATTAATTAATTGCAGAAAAGTATTCTGACGGACGAGGGTGCATGCACTTAACCATTCAAGGCTACACGCGAGGCTTTATTCATATCACGTTAATTTTCATCTATTGTCAATCATTTTCATTTCCACTTTCGATTTGAGAAGAATCATCACTAATTCTTTATAAAAAAACATTTTTTAAGTAAAAAAAAAGTAGATATCGACAATATACCCGGGAGATAGGTGATTGATGATTTACTATATATCATGGAAGAATAGGTTTCGGGAACGGTATGGATTCATGAACTGTTAAACTATGACGATAATAACTTTGTTACTAAATGTATTTAGTAAAAAGCTACACAGACTACTGATCATTCTTTAGTTTACGAATCCAATTATGGTTTTCGAGTCGAGTTTTATTCAGTGCATTAACATTTTAAGCGCTGTCCGTTAATTTAACCCCAAAATCATTCCTGTTCCATAACGCATCTATGGTATCAGTTCGAATAATGGTTTGTCGAAGTTTCATCGAGTTTGGCCACAAAGAAGTATGGTTATGGTTATGGTTAAAAATACGGATAGGCATTTGCTGCCCTCTTGTCACCGAACCCCTACTGGGCTATTGTGGCTCCGTTGTCCTTCTGATCCCTATAATTCTAGGTCAGCTTTTCTCACCAGTTTTAGTAGATTCCCGGCGTCTAGATCCGCTACATAGCTGATGCTAGGGAAGGCGGTTCCCCAGCAATTTAGCCTTGTTGTAGCCAGTGCAGGGCAGCTACAAAGTATGTGCAGGCTGTCCTCGTCTGCCTCAAGGCACAGTCTGCAGCAGGCATCGCTTTCGATACCCATGTTTTTGCAGTGTGTCTTAAACCTACCATGTCCAGTGAGGAGCCTGATTGTGGTCCTCAGTTCCTCTTTTTTCATGTTGAGTAGTTTTCCTGCCCTTTCCTTGTTTAGGGTTGGCATGAGGGCTTTGGATTTTCTGCAGGTTGTGATCTGCTCCCATCGCCCTTGGTGTTCCTTCTGGAGTTTGTTTTTGATTCGAGACATTCCGGTCGCGAAAGGGACTCCCACTGTCACGACCTGGTCATCATTTGACGCCCCATGCCTTGCCAGTTGGTCCGCTATCTCGTTTCCTTTTATCCCTTTGTGGCCCGGGACCCATGCCAAAGTTATTTTATTGGTTGCCCCTAGTGCTTCTATAGCTGCCATCGTCTACTAGACCAGCCCCGATTCGGTGCTTGGTCTCTTTAGGGCTTTGATGGCGGCTTTGATGTCAGCTTTGCTGTCCGGCCAGACATATATATGCTTTCTTGAGGTCGGTTTTGATAGGAGAAACTCTATGCAGTTTTTAATTGCAAGGATTTCTGTTTGAAAAACAGTGGCCAGGGATCCAATGGACCAGCTGTCTCTGTGGTTTTCTTTTGGCCCATATATCCCTGCACCGTATTGGTGTCCACGGCCCGAGCCATCCGTGTACCAGTGTATTACATTGCTACCTGGGGATTGTTTTGCCATTTCTCAGTCTTCTCTGTCAGGTATGTAGGTCTTGAAACCTTTCCTGATCAGGTACCTCCTGGTTGTTCTATCCTGATCTATGTTCAGGGGGCTTCTTTTCAGTATATCGAGCTTGACATGTGCCGCGCTCGATTGATTCCATTCCCCCTGACATATCAGCCTGTAGGCGGTTGCCTCTGCCTTGTACAGCACAGCTAGATCAAGTGGTGGTGTGTTCATTGCCACTTCCAAGGCTTCGGTCGGTGTGGTTTTCATCGCCCCAGTTGCAGCCCTGAGGAAATTTCCCTTAGTGTATCAGTAGTCTGTGTAGCTTTTTACTAAATACATTTCCCTTAGTGCTATGCTTGCACTAAGTATTTTTGTTAAGGGTCCCAGAATGATGTCGATCCCTCTCTGCAAGAGGATTGGGTAGACTCCATCTGGTTCCGGAGCTTTTAGGGGTTCAAAGGTATTGACGGCCCACTCTACCCCTTGCGGGTGGACTATCTTAGCTGCCAAGGCCCATTCTTGCGGCTTGTAGGTGTCTCTACAGGTTTCTGTTCCTTGTTCCATATCCCCCGAGTTGGTGAACCCCGGGAAGTGCTCTTGTAGTAGCAGTTGGAGAGTTTCTTCTGTGGTCCAGGTGTAGCTTCCATCCGGTTTGATGAGACAGCCCAGATTAGAGGCGCCCTGTCCTCCCAGGATCTTTACCAGCCTTGAAGCTTCAGATTGGCTCTCCACCCCACTGCTAAATTTCTGCCAGCCCTCGTTTTTGGCTATTACGAGTGCTTTATTATATTTCCTCTGAAGATCTCTGCGATCTTAGAGGGCCTTCTGCCCGCTGCTTTCCGTGTACGCGGTCTTCACCTTGTTCCACACTTTCCTTAGCTGGCATCTTAAAATGGACAGTTGGTTATTCCACCAGCCCACCATTTTTGTATTCCGCGGTCTTTTAATGTTGCAGTTGTTTTCATAGGAGTCCCTGATCACTTCTCCGAGACGTTCGGCTGCATGTTCCAGGT